TCTATCTATCTATCTATCTATCTATCTATCTATCTATCTATCTATCTTTAAAGGAGCGAGTGTTGCACGAACAGATCTAGTCCTTGTTTTGGATTTTTTTCATTTCAAACAACAGACTTATTCTGTATGCAACACATTTTTAACATCGGGTAAATGAAAGGATTATTTACTCGATGACCAATGTTTACGCCTCCTCGTTTCCCCATACCCCCCCATCATCCTCAAAACATCAGTGATCAAAAGAAAGCATTTGGCAGGTCGGATGTGGAGTGGGTTGCTTCTACTGAATCCACAGGAGAAAAGTGTACAGCACACCACCACATAGTCACATCTGCTGTCGCAATGCAAACAGGCCTGTTACAGAAATAGGTCAATCTACCCCACTCCCCTCAGCAGAGAGATTCAGGAGGTCATACACAGACCCACTCCAGCGGTATCTGCTCCGGCAAGAAAATCTTGTAAACAAATGTTTTACCAGACAAACATATCAGTAAGTGAAATAATGTTGTTCTGACAAAAAGTATCAACAGCAGGATGCACAAACGGACCTGTTTGTTGTCGCTTAAATATGTTACTCAAAAGCAGAAGGCACAACAGTCGCACACCAAACGGCAGACATTTTCACTTGGAAAATGTGACAGCGTGTCTCACTTCCCTGCACTGTCAAAACAACATGAAGCCGGAGAGCCTGAATGGTTAAGCACAGCTCAGACAGAGCATCCATCACTACGCCCTGCTCTGAGGCACGTTAGAAAATCTGGTTTGTAGAATAAGCCAAAGTGGCCGTTTTGAGATTGAGTGTCCACAAGCTAAAGCGAGAAGGTAGACAACAATGAATCATGACAGCTCAGACACACCTTTTTAGCTCAGATTACAACAATGGTTTATGTTGAAGGCAGTCACAGAAGGCTAGCTTGAGGGGGCAAAACTAATAATGAGCCAAGCGAGAAAAAAGGATCCTGAGGACAATTGAGGAGGAACAGGATATTTTTTGCAACTTTAAACCGACTCCATTTTTCCTTTTGCAGTGTGCAATAGCTCCACTGTTGTGTATATAGCCTGGCAGCTGTACACACATAGCAAAAATGTATCAGTGCTCTGTTTCCCCGACACAAATGGTGGTGTTTGCTTCTTCCTTGGCAAATACAGCCCCTGGCTACAGTCAACAGCAAAAAATCTTCAGTCTGGTGGACAGAAAACAAATGAAGCAAAAGAGAACTCGAGCACAAAGAAGAGCAAAAACACTGAAGGGAGTGATCAGAGAAGCAGACGCAGACGAAGGAAGGAGAGCAGACAAACACAGGAAGCCAGGGAAAAGACAATATCAGATCAACAGATACAAGCCATCCACCACAATGGCGGATTTACGCAGGGCCAATACCCTGTTTACAAGTGCGACGCTTCAGTTTTGCCGGCTGAGAAAGAGTCAGCGGAAGTTTCACTCAGTTACATCAGCAGATTCAAGTCTTGCAAAAAAAATAATTAAATAACGGTATGTTACAGAAACATGGGAGGACTTCACAAGAAGGAGGCCAAGGAAGACGTTATCTCTGCCTAACGACGGTGTAGGAGGAGACAAAGGGGATGACGCATAGCCAGTCATGTCCCAGTAAGAAGAAAAAAAATGCTGCTGACCACAGCCAAAATCCTGAGGGGAAGCTGGAAATAAGAAATATGTGTTGCATGTGCAACAGTGGAACTAATTCTAATCACACAGCTAACCCAGAAATGGATCTGAGAGGAGACTGCTTCAAGTGTGAAGTGAAGAGTTTATATTTTATTAGCTTCATTTGTTTATTCAGTCAATAAAGTCATCTTCAAGATGACAGGCCCAGCATGCAAAATCCTTTTATTTTTAGCATCCACAGCCGTGTCACAGATTCTTATTGGTTTACTCGAGGATGCTTCATTTGAAGGGAAAGCTTGCAGAAGTGTTACAGGTACACTGTCCTCCTGGACGGTCCGCCAGTCCATCGCAGGGCCACACAGAGACACACAAGGACAAACAACGACACACACTCACACCAAAGGGCAATTTGGAATGTCCCATCAACCAAACATGCAGGGTTTTTTGGGGGACGGTGGGAGGAAGCCGGAGAACCCAGAGAGAACCCACGCAGAAACAGGGAGAACATGCAAACTCCCCAGAACCCTGATGCTGTGAGGCTAACCACCACACCCTTGTGCCGCCCTCTTACGGACACTCCCTCTACATAAGATTTACTGTTGGGCTAAAAACCATCGCTGACCCATTTCACACTGGAAATGGCCATCTTTGATCCCACTAAGAAATTCCAAGTGAGCTGCTCCCACGGTGTATCTGCTCCACTCCCCAAATTTAACTCAAACAACCACCCTCCTCTAATTCCTACCTTCAAGCCAAGTCGGAAATGAACAGACCACACATGAGTTTGGGCCTCTATAAAACTCAAGTGCGGCAAATTTATCCAAATGCAAATAAAGTTAATTATAACTACATAAACAACAACGTTGGTGGGGAGGTGGATAGTATGTCTACCACCAGGATTAGGACACTACCCGTGCAGAGGCACACAATTACACTTATTGTTTGCCCTTCGTTTTCTCATTCACTCTCCCTTCTTGAAAAGAACAGGAAGTGGATGTGAGCCCCCTTTAAATGAGTGATGTGCATGTGTAATTACATTCCCGCCATGACCAGCTCAGTAGTAGTGACCCTGTGGTCAAAAACAAATCTGGTAGTTACAAAGAAAACACTCAACATGAGAGAAAAGCCTCTTAAAAGTAGGGATATACCACCTGCTGTATTTACAAAGTAACTCTGCGACTGCAGAGCCTCAGAGAGCCCTCTTGTCATTTTTACACAATTGTGGCAAAATGCAAACCACAATCTTCCGTTATTTGTAGCTCTACCTTTTAACCAACAGTGAGAAGAGTTCAAAATAGTGATGTTTTGGCATTTTTCACTCAGTGTGTTAAACAGGGAATTGCTGTTAATTGTTAGAAATGCACACATAAACAGTATGAAACTGGTGCCACAATCTAAGTGACCAATCTAATTTAGGGCGCTACAAAACAGCCAGTGACAGACAGATCATGTCCACCTTTCTGGGAAAACAAACTGGCTTGTGGCAGATAATTAAATGTGATGTACATCATGAGAAATGAAAGGGTATCATGTGTGATTACAGTGTGTTCTGAATGTGCCTGTCTCCAGAAGGCAGGGGAACTGTAGCTGCACTGTACACAGGCACAGCTCATCGTTGGTGATTAAGCTCAGTTTTTAAAACTTGTCATCGCGAGACTTCCTTATTTATATCAAAATATTTTCGTACGAGATTGTAACAAAACCATAGTCCCTAATCACGGTGATATTGTTAAGAGACAAACTTGTTTTGAAATAAATACTGTGTGTCTTAAATCTTTTGTGCAAACTTCCAAATAAACACAGGGAAAAAAAACCCCCATCATATTTGTACCCGCATAGCGAGCAAATTAAGCTTTTAATGAAACTGGGCTGAGCTGAGGATGTTCCCTTCGCTGTCTGAAATTCGAAACTACTAAACAAAACGACAACGAAAGCGTCTGTATGACATAAAGAAAAACAGTGTCACCCTGTAATGTTCCCCAGACCGCTTTAAAACCTTTCCAGGCTCAGTTGTGGTGTGGAGCAGCTGACACGCGGCTAGCTCTGCCTCGTCTCGCTTTGTCTCCGTGTGGTTTTTTGCGTCCCTACATTTAAGTTTTTAATCAGACTCAAAGGGGGACTTACGTCGTATTCAAACTGTAAGCGAACCACGAAAACTGACAGGGCCATTCGTGGCACACTGACAGGCTAAATTCGCAGTTGAGCCGCGTTGGCTGACGTTTAACAGATAAGAGATATCGACCTGTAACGCGAACAGAAGTGAAATAAATAACCGTCAACGGACGGCTGGCCGTGGCGTTTCTGACCGATTAACAATGCGGACGGCTGTGGCTCTGAGAGGGCTGCCGTTCCTCACCTGCGATACACAGCACGGAGTACACATTCTGCTGGGGAAAAACGAAATACAATCCGTTTGGAGAGTAGGGTTAGCTGGAGGGTTTGTGGGTCGTTGTCCTCGTCGTCCACATGAAAAAGCCAGCACAAGGGCACCGGAACGCGTCTGGTCCTGTCGTCGGCTCGGCAGTGCTCCCAGTCCGCCTGCCCGCTGCCACCGTCTCTCCTCCTCTTTCCCCCACCGTCCCTCCTCCCACACAAGATCCCCGACACAAAGCCACTGCCTCCACACACAGCATCAAACGCTTTCAGATCAGGAACTTCCACAAGGTCGCTTTCTATTCTTCTAATCTCCACAGAAGCTTCTGGTTTGATCCACCTTTATCACAAATAGACTGCAACCCCAAGATTAAAATGGAACAGAAAAAAATCTTTGTATAGTATGACACATTGTTACTGGCTCAATGTTTTTTCTAAGAAGGATGCTACACAAGATCACAGCCTGCACAGCGTTCATTCATGCCTTTTTCCACTTTTACAAATAGAGTTATACGAGAAAAAAGGAAATTAGCTCACTGAATCAAAATCAGTATGAAGTTATAGGTAATATTGCTGACCTGATAGTTTGTATCTTCCTCTTCATTGTTTTTTTGTTTAATTTGACATTTTCCTGTATTTATCAAATTCTTACTTCCCTGAAGTACCTTGGTTTACTTTTGTTATAAATTTTTTCCCCATTTTTATAAATAGTTTTGTTTAAGAGGCACTTTTTTACAGATAATTCATGAAGCAAATGACAGCCAGGCAGTTTAGAGGTCCATCCGTAATTGTTAATGGAGAAAGATGAAATGGAAATGTCTGTCCGTATATGACCAGCCACTCACAACTGTGGGACAGTGGTAAGACATATATCATGTGACTTAGACATTAACAATCCGAGTGTTTTTCCATTTGATTTATTATACAAATATCTTAATATTCCATTGGGATTTTTTTTTTTCAAACATGGGTAGATCTTGATGAACAGCTCATACATTTTATAGTCTTCACTGTTGGAGGACTGCAGGAGCTCTCTGTGCTGGTTTTGCCAAAGCTGTCATGTCACCATTCAGCCAGAATTTCTAGTCACCTTTAAAAAGACATGGATTATACTTTGAAGCCTCTTCTGGAATTCATAATCCTCAATTCATGGCTTGAAAACAGGAATCTACTGATTAAAAAAAAAAAAAACAAGTGGCTACGAGTCCATGTTTAGGATTTTATAAACGCAACCACATACCTTTCAGCATGGAGCTGCTGGGAGCATTGAGGCAGATGGTTTTAACTTTTAAAAGGAAAATATAAACCCACACTTAGATAGCAACAAAGATGTGTGTTAACATAAAGAGGGGCTGTCAGGAAAGACACACTCATCCACTCCTTTTCCTGTCTAATTAGATTCAGTTGAAAGGAAAGCAAAAGAGCAGCAGAGTGAAGCATCTGTGTCAGATGACAGTACAGTCAGGGAGAGGAAGCACACTCCATTTCCAACTCAAACAGCTGAGATGTCAAAGACAGAAATACAAGAGAAATTACACATGAGCACTTGCACCGTTTACTGGTCTTGAATACAAAAAATACAAATATGTGTTCATGAAATAAATCAACCATGCTAGTTTGGTTGTGATCCCCTCGAGTCTCATAAATAGAAATATAGTAACAGGCTCTCAGAGTTTAGGCATCAGATCCAGAACCAACACCACTGGTCCAGACAGTCTCTGCTGTATGTCTTTTCCTGGAGTGTTGAACACAACAACAGCATCGTACATTTATTCAAACTAACCCTGAGGTAAAACACCCATGTAATGGCAACAGCTTCTAAAAAGTCTCCAAATCAACCTTGCCTGAGCCAGCCTCATAAAGTTTTGGATTATATTTAATTCCAGTCCTGGGTAATACAGGAGGTTGAGCTGTGTGGTGGTCATCTTCTGATTCATCAGGTGCCATCTGGTCAGAAAATAAGTTTCTTCTTCATTACAGCTGTAAAACACACAAACAACAGTTTTCACAAACATATTTTAAAGAGACACTTTGAAAAGTAAGTCAAAAGAATCTATGCAACCCAACCCAAACAAGCCTATAATGAGCAATCCGCGAGGTTTCCATCGGCTGTAAGAGTAATGACAGTTTCTCTGTAATATAGTGCACAGCTCATCGTCAAACCCAGATGTTTTCCAAACCACAGGAGGAGCTGGCAAAGCTCTGAGCCTCCCAGTAACACCAAGGCTCTACTTTACTCTTACATGCCTTCCCACTAGCTACTTAACTGTGTGCGCACACGCTGTCGCCATATTCTCAATTTCTAAATGAGTGCAACCAACACCCTCTAAAATGGTAGGTATACTCCAGTGGTGCCAGAGATTTATACCCCAAGAATGCAAGTCTGGAGAACTCAGCACTATCTATAACAGAATTCACAAGTAGTTTTGTGAAGTTTCTGACTAGTTGTATCTAATAAGGGAATGGAAGCATTTCAATAACAGAGTAAAGATTCAGAATATAAATATGAGGAAGGTAGTTTTCATTACTTGTCTCCAGTCCTTCTATTTTCCGCTTGAGCCCAACTGTTTCTTTTTCTTTCAGAGCCTCAGCAGAGCAGTTTGGTCGCGGTAGCTGGGGACCAGGAGTGGGACCTGGTCGATTGCTAAAGTACTTCATCTTTAGAGCCTGGCAAACAAAGCAAACGTGTCGACTCAGCACCCATTCACCCGCATCATGCTTATTTTGGAGATGCAGTTTCGTCATTTAAAACTCCAGTTGAGTTTCGCATGTCTAGCCTGTCAAATTCTTTCACCATCCAATACAAAACACAGATTTAAAAACAAAAAGGTATCATTCATTCAGATTTTTTACTATTTAAAATGACTAAGGTACACAGATCCTTTGATAAAAATTAGAACATAAAGATTTTTCCATGAATGATTAGCAGGTCTCAAACCTAATGTTCATCAGCTAACGTGCTCTCCTGTATCAGTTACCTGTGTAGCTGTGGTCCTTGTGGAGGGGTTAAAGGTAAAGAGGCCCTGTAGTAGCTCAAGTAAATCGTCTCCAGCTGCACTAAATATATGTTCCAGAGGTGTGCCTGGAAATATCTTGAAGGATACGTAGTCGGGTAGACTACTCATTCCCTGCAGAGACATTTGGCAATGAAACATTTACAAAAGTCCCCACATCTCGGTAAAACAAAGACTGTGTTAACCGGTAACGGGTACCAACCGGCCACGTCTCCTCTGTAGGCGTTCCAAGAGCCTCAAAGATTTTGGTTAGCTGGTCGAGATCGGAGTCTCCAGCAAGGAAAGGTATCTAGAGCAAAAGAGACCTTTAGTTTGGGAATTACAACCACGGCATCCTCTTGCTTTATGAATGGCCGACTGAAGCGAGGTTTCTCTACCCGGAGCAGAAGCTCTGCCAAGATGCATCCCACAGCCCACATGTCGACACCCACACCGTACATCCTGGCACCGAACAGCAGCTCAGGAGAGCGGTACCACCTATCAAACAGATAACAAATAAAGATGAGACTTTCTACAATTGGAGAAAAATAAAATCTGTGTAAAATTTATATTATTAACAGAAATGAACATGGATATTTTCTTGTTTGGTTTCGATACAATGACAACAGTGCAGACCTGGTAACAACTTGATGTGTGTAGACCCTGTTCGGGCTGCCGAACGCTTTTGCCAAACCGAAATCAGCCAACTTCAACACTCCATTACCGTCTAGCAGCAGATTATTGGGTTTTAGATCCTGCACAGAGAAATGGGGTGGGGCAAAGTATGCATTTTGAGCCAGGGGTGTTTATATGTGTAAGGGATGTGTGTGTGGTTTGTAAATGTTCTCACCCTGTGTAGGACCCAGTAATGGTGCATATATTCTAATCCTTGAAGAGTCATGAGGATGTAGGCTTTGATGTTTGCTGGAGTCAAGACTAGACTAGTGTCTTTGATAATAACCTGTAAAAAAGTTTTAAAAGAGTAAAACACTTGACGGGTGATGATGAATAATCAGCATCCTTTCCTCAAACATCTGTAGCTCATAAGCTTATACAAACATAAGTTAGCATGTGGCCAAAAATAAGCTTCTGGCTCCAGTAAATGGGCTGAGCATCATACTTTTCCCTCATGACTTTACAGCTCGTTTGAGACACTAATGGCATAAATTCATTGTGAAAACCAAGAGCAGAGGCTTATTGATTTTTTTTTCTAAATGGATGTTTATCTTGTTTTGGATCGTTCTTTTGATGTCTGTTGTATCAGAAGAAGGCTCTCATCGAGAGCCTAGTTTATCTTTAGACAAAAAAAGAAGAATGACAATGATGCAAAGAGGACAAATGGGAGAATAAAAGTCTTTGTGAACCTCTAAGTAAAAATAGGGCTGCCATCTCACTTATCCTTATGTTTTCTTTAAAGTGAAGAATAATAGAACTCAAATTTCCAAAGAAAAATGCATGTGATCAAAAGGTCTTTTGTCTAGATTTAAGATGACAATATTCTTGTTAAGATTAAAAAGCAACCTAAAAATGAATAATTTCAAAGTCTAATGAGGGTTTTTCACAAGTACCTCCTCAGCTAGACTCTGCACAGTTACAGTTTTAGCACCTACTGGGTGCTGACTGGCTTTCACCTCAAATGACTTCATGAGTCATGAATGTGAAAGCATAGCTTAAAGCATCTATTTATTATTTCTGGAATTATCAGTGCTGTAAAGACCTAATGCATGTGCCCACACAGATGTTTAGAAGCATCAATGTCACCAGGCCATCTGACATTATGGTCTTGAGCTGGTATGGCATACCAATGACGTCACCGGCCGTTTGGGTCGCATTTTTGTTTGGGACCTCACTTGTCGTGGAGCGCAACCTACATTGATTTTTGTCGGAGTAAGGCTGAATAGGTAGTAATGCGAAAAACATTAAGGCCTGTGTCAAAGACACAATACAACCCCACCCCCCACCCCATGCATTGATATTCATGACGGCACAGAAGTATAGGCAAGGTAACACTATTAAAAGTTTTTTTTTTTTTTTTAAGAAAGAAAAAATATATAAAATGCTGTGATTCAACTTAAAAATAGCTAAAAATTATCTGGATAAGTGAATTTTTGTTCCACTAGATGAAACAGACATGCCTCACCTCCAGGTCTGTCTCCATGAAATCAAACACCAGGCTGATGTTTGATTTGTGTCCAAAGGCATCCAACAGCTACAAAACATAACACAACCAGAAACAACAGTGTTACATTAAAAAATATGCAATTTACTGATATGCTAATGGAACTGTAAGCTTATATGATTTAAGAGTACCCCAATAATATTTGGATGATGCAGCTCCTGGAGCAGTTTGATCTCTCTGAGAGCAGTCCGATTTATCCCTGCAAGGAGAAATCTGCATGAAAATTATCTATACTGTGTGGTTAGTATGTGTGTACTCAAGGCCACTCGAACTCACCATCTTTTGCCTCAGTTCTGTGGCCAACCTTAATCTGCATAAAGAGAGAGATACAAGATACAGGTCTGCTGTTGGCCATCACATGTCGAAAGTACTATACATAAATGGTATACGTTATGTTCAATATGTACCTTTTTAATCGCAACTATTTTGTCAGTCACTTTATCTCTGGCTTTGTACACTGTGGCAAACTGGAGAGAGGAAATACAGGGCCATAAGTAGAGAATCACCACAACACCACAGTTGCTGTGAGCTCAACAGCATTTAGCAGCAACGCTTTGTTTACATTAGTTACAAGCTAACACTTGTTAGCCACATCTCATACTCTCAACAGGACTGACTACAGACTCTGAGGACAGACAAAGCTCTGAATTAAGGAGTAAAATACCTAATTATTTCACTGCTTACCTGACCCTCTCCCAGGAAGTCCAGTTTCTCGTATCGTTTTGCCCTGGTTTTCACGTCCAGCGCCATGTTGGCTAACAGTCGGCAGCATAAACACACACTTCCCGACTTGTTAAAGGTCCGCGGGGACTCTTTCCGGGTTAAAAGCAGCTTGAAATGGACCTGCAGCGCTGCCCAGCGATCAAAATGATACAGCACTGACAATGAAGCCATCGGACTTATTGGCGACAGTCAAAGTCTTATAATTTTTTGTTTTTAGCATAAAGCTAAAAAAAAAAAGAAGCTAAATTTAAGATTAGAGCAGATAGTATGATTACAGGGGCAACATTTTCATTAGGAACATCTATTCCTTATCTTGAATCATGAATTTAGCCATAAAAATGACGAGCATAAGCTTCAAATGAGCTTTTTGTATATTGCTTCATTTCTATGTTTTTCTTCATGTAGTTCCTTAATCTAAAGCCACATTAAGCACACTTGTTCTTGCAATGACAAATAGGCACATAGACATTCCACTACCCACAATAAGAAATCTGAGTTTTTTTTTTTCTTCTTTTGCTTTGGTATTCTTCAAAATTAAAGAGTTTGTCGAGGTATTTTAAGATATAAAATTGACTGTTGAAAGACTTCGTTTTTCAGTGTATTCTGTGTTGGTCTTATTCAATAAATGTTGCCAATGAGTTTTTTTTTCTTTATCCTCATTGCAGCTTGTGTGTTACTGTTAAAGCATTTTCTGTTTTTATTTTCTCTTTCTTTTTTCATATAACATTTTGTTGTCTTAGCACGGCAATCTTTATGATAATTCTCAACAAACACAGCTCAGTAATGAAATTACACAAATGAACCAACCTCTAGTTTTCGCCTGTCTTGTTTGATATTTTTAGCAGTATGATGCAATGTGCAGCATTATTTTTCTCATAATTTGCATATTTCCCTCTTTTCTGCTCATACCGGTTTTGACAATGGTCCCCAGGGAGTCTCTTCTGTCAGTTAGGAAGGTTTTGTGATCCACGCATCACTGAGCACATCTCTACATCCCATCACCATTCACAGTAAGATACCCTCACATCCCACAGGATTAGGCATGGCTTCTCTCCTTTGACCCTCCTTGTCTCCTTCCTCATATGCCTACGTTCACACTCAGGAACACACACGCATACTACACACTTACCACCGAATTTCATTTTAATGTTAAGTTTGACAAGAGGGGTGTGAAGGATCAGCAGGCCTAATACACCCCCCCCACGCCCCTCCCCCCCGCACATATATGCACATTCAGAGTCTGACAGCTCACAGATGTGACTGACAGTATGCGACCATGCAGAGAGGAGAGAAGAGAAAAGAAGCCTTTCCAGTCACCACATCATCCACTTTTAATACTGAAGTAGAACATTTCAGTCCAGAGCTGAACATAACTCAGACCCACTTACATCATAAGCTTTTAAACAAATGTGACATATTTATATTGGTTTATTCAGATATTATTTGAGGGCAGTGTTGTTCTCATTACCCTCAGTCTCTTGAAGAGAGCTGTAAGTGATTCCAGTTAGGCTTAGACAGTTTGTCACAGTAAATCTCGTGACAGGTTACACTGTGCACAGTAACTCACTCTGCTTAGATGTCGCATTAGCAGATGGTGATGCCGCTGAGTTGTGTGTGCGTGTACACCTCAGTTTGACGGGCAGAAGGAGAGTGAAACCACAAAGCTGTTTATCAAACTCATAGGAAGTGGGTGTTGTTCAGCAAGGACGTGTCGCAGCACCACATCCTGCTGCTGGGAAGCAGCTTCAGATGGGACAGTGTTCACACAATGTACAGTAAACAACAAATGCCGCCCAGGTGTGTATGTGTTGTTACGTGTGTATCTATAACTGTGTTTGAGTCTTTTTGTACTGTGTGGTGGCTTTAGACACTGTACACCAGCTGTTCATCGGTGATCATTTGAGGGGCAAATTGTGTGACCACTGCAGTCAGCGGTGAGCCCACAATTCAAAACTGAATCGCCCTTTCTTGGATTTCCTCTTTTCATTTCCCCTGCATCACATGCATGCTGTTGCTCTTAAGCACTCACGGGTGGCATTCAGATTTGTTTGAAGTCACCACCATACACACAGTATTCATGTCACCTCGAAAGTGAAGCACTGAAATCCTTAAAAAACAATTAAAGCATCAAATGATAGCATCTCAGAAAAAAAGACATTGTCAAGTAGAGTATTTCTTTTGTTTTAAGCATATCTCAAAATGAGACGAGGTAGTCAGTAGATCTATCCCGCTGCTCCACAAACGCGGGAGTGCATCTCATTTGGAGATTCAAGCACTAAAAGAATGGCACCATTTAACCTGTAAACCACAAATGATTCAGCAGTCAGAGTTGTCTCATATACCAGCTTTTATATGCCAACATTTCATTTACTCACTGAGTCTCAGGGGAAGTGACACTGTTCTCTCATCTGGGGAGTTTTCCTCTTTGTTTCTCTTTCTGAGTATTACACACACACACATACACACGCAGCTGTATGTGACCACATGCACAGTTATAACACAACAGGATGTTGTAGGGTGGATGTTTGAGGTATGAAGATTCACACAAGCTGTGACAAACATCTAATTCTCAGAACTGATTATTTGTTATTCAAGGGTCAGATGAGTGCAGACACTCTTAATCTGCTGCCAGATTTTTTGTCGAAGTCCCGAAATATGACATAATCCAGAACTAAACCCAAATTTACGAAACCTGTATTCTGGAAATAGCATGGCATCAGGCACGTCTTCATCACAACATGAGTCACCTTGCGCATTTATTTTTTTTGTAGGTTTCTGCAGTGACGAGACAAAAAGTAGGTGAGGGGACAACAGAACAACAGTCATCATCATGCCGGCAGTCATTATTTTACAGCCAGCACAGAGATTCATCACATTAGAGCTGTTAGTCCTGTATGCCACTGTCAGTTTGAATGTTTTCTCTTTGTCCCCCATTTTCCTCATTTAAAGTGCCAGCATACCCCAGGGCTTGTTTGGCATTTTCTGATGAGCCCACATGATAGCGTGGCTCATACAGAACCAACATTATGATAATGTCCTCATAAGTTGCAGGGGGATGCGTGCAGTGTCACCTCTCCACACAGGCAGAGCCAGCAGGGAGCCAACATTCAGCTGCATTTATGGAGGCTCCGCTATTATATAACATCTCCTCTTAGACATCATTAACACTCTCATTAGTGGAATCTCTATCACACGCTCAAACGGACAGTTTTCCAATATTCCTGCTTCTCTCCCTTTGTTTGCTTGTGTATCTACAAAGTTCGATCATGTCTACAAACCCGTGGCCACTTGAGTTCCTCAGTGAGCTCATAAACTGTGCTGAACTGCTTAGTTGAAATGAATTGCTTGAATTGGCCTGTTGTTTTGTTGTATGTCTTAAATAAAGTTAGCTGCCTCAGATGAGTACGAAATGCAGTGTGAAATGACACAGAAAGGTTGTGAAAATGCCTCAGGGTTGATTCCAAACCATGTTGCCATGAGAACACTGAATTCTTCTTATGCAACCGAGAGCAGCGGGGTGTTCGAGACAGTCATCTTTGGAGAGTGAATGAAGGCGAGCGAGACTCCACTCTGATTCATCTGCGTACATCAGGAGCTGGAGATGGCCCCAGTGGTGTGTTATCCAAGAACCCATTTACTTCATTAACCCCGCCAGATCACTCAGGCCTCAGTAATCAACCTCGTCACATGTCCCATTAACTTTGCATTCTATCAGCGTGGCCTTCGCACCTCTGATGCACAAAGACACACAAGCACTTACACCCATCTAATTTTGTTACCCACATTCGTATCGGCAGCAATACTTGTGAGCCACGTGTGTTTTACTTTCGTATTCTTCGTCTTCCTCACGGCAAAGACCTTTCCTTCGTACGTTCTCCTCTCCCTCTGTCTGGGCTAACCCTATTACTCCTGTCAGTCCCTGGGGTCTCTCAGCTCTGATGAACCCTCAGCTGCCCTGCGAGATTAGTGGACTCCCTGAGAAAAGCCCCTCATTGATCGAGTGTGAGTCTCCGCCGCTCGCAATGTCAGCTCAAGGTTGACTATGCTCCTACAGCGCGGCGCCGCTTTGTTATTAATATCAGCGGGTCTGAATTGTTTCATCTCTGCTGACTTTGCCCCTCGACAGCATTCATAGTCGTGGCAAAGCAGTTATTGACTCTCACCTTCAGAGTCATCTTTGATTTACTTCACAGTGTTTCTCTCCGGTGCCCCCACTTAAAAGAATTAATTCATTGTAAACTGATTTCTCGTTTTTTTCTCTTTTCTCCTCATCAACTGAACCTCAGAGGAACACATCTCACATAAAAGCTTCGGCAAATTGTGAAGTGGTTTGAATTCACCTTTATGCACAGCACATCGGGCAGGAGGGCACATTTACTCACATCCCACTTTAGTAAATGAAGCAGAGATGAAGCAGCTCTCAGTCTGTGAAAGAGACTCAGAGAAACGACTGGATCAGTGAGAATATTTCTGCTTTTGTGCTGGATCTTGTGAACGATAAGTGACGCACCAGATTTCCTGTGGCGGTAAATAGAGATGAAAGGATCATCCAGATATTGGGATCATTCAGGCAGGAATGTTGCCCTGCACTGGGTCTCTTTCTGTCCGATCATAATTCAATATCTACAGTTTAAGCTGGAAAACTACTCCCTCTTGGCCTCCTGTATCTGGTATCCATGGCAACAGATTTGTGAACAGAGCACTGTCTTTATGTGTCCATGCGTACGTGTGTGTCTGAGTGTAATCTCTACTGATACACAGCGATTGATTGATTGTCAGGGAGCAGCTGTTGACCCCTCGATCTCTGGGTTCTCTTTGTGCTCTTGAGTACATCTTAGATCAATGAATGTGAACATACGCACAAAAGAGGCTGTTATAAACTTATTTCATACTAGATTTTTATTTGTCTTCTGGTGACCAAATCCACCCATTCTTTTTACCCAGATTAAAATATACCATTAATTTAACTTCATACCCCTGAGCCTCATTTTAATTATGATATCAGTCCAACCTCATCAATTTATAACTCAGGTCCCCAAGGCTCTGAGGTAACACAGACGCATGCACTGAGGGTCCTGTTACCATTTAGACGTGATCGCTGTTTATTTTTAGAATCAACACATTAATGTAGATATCATGAAAGGCAAAAAAAAAACATGAATACCAACATT